TTTGAATCTTACCAACCCAGTTCCAAGTGAAAACCCTGATTTTAATTTGTGCAATAAAATAAACAGCACAAAACAAACCAGAATAATTTAATCAACAAACCACTTGCCAATACGTTGACAAACGGTTACTTACATAACCGCTTGTGTAAGCGTGGCGCAATGAACAAGGTCGCGCGGCTGGCTAGTATACAGGACTGTCTAAAGTCTAGAGACTAACTTAGCCTAGATATTGGTAGGCCTTAGACCTACTCTAGCACTAAAATAGCCTAGAAATTGGTTGGTAAAACTTGACCTAGAGGCCTCAGTTTTGTTTCTCAGTGGGCACAATTTTTTCTACTCGGTGCGTTGTTACCACCATCTTAACTAAGTTTGTAGCTATAGGCGCAGACCACCAATTTTTAATTGGCCGATAGTTGTGCCCGATTTTAATTTGTATGAAGAATCGGCCAAATCAAATCGGTGTAATGTGCGCACTTCCATACATGCCCATATTGATCAACTGCCCGACTAAACTATCGGCCGACGAAAAATCAACGGTGTGCGCCTACTCTTAGTTTTGTTAGTTTTTATAAACCAAAGCCTGCTCTTGTAGGGTACAACAAGGTGTACCTACTGGGAATCAAACACAGATCTATTAAAACTCTCTAATAAATCATCAGACCAAATAATTCTCACACTCGCGCGCAATTATTAACGCGTTGATGTCTTTTGTATGGGACGCTATTGACTTAGTTTTTTAGTTCAAATTTAGTACAAAATAGCAATATTTTATATGATGTTTTATAAATTGATATTTATTTTGATTGTGGATTTAATTGTTTGAGTTTTGGGTATGATATTTGAGGAATTATTGCAGTAAATCTCAAGGTAATAAGGCCAAAAGTAGGTATATTAAAGATTTTCGCTGTTTACTTCAGAATTGGCAGATATTTTTTTAATTAAAACTTAATATACCCTTCATTTAATAGATCATAGTCACTCAATAAATATCTATTTATAGATCTTTATTATTTAGTAATTAATTTAATTGAGGTCTAATAATCTAGGTATTTATTTTCTAAACAATGTTCACAAGGATGTTTTTTGAGTCCTTCACACAAAAACTTCTAGATGGATTTTGATGAAACAATATTATAGCTTATAAGTATATTAGAATCTATATCTATAAAAGCGAAAGGTCACTGACTGACTCACTCACTCATCACAAAATTTCAGAAACTACAAGTGCTAGGAGTCTCAAATTTTGCATGGGGGTTCCTTTTAGAACGTAGGTGCTCACTAAGACGGGATTTTGCAAAATTCAACCCCTAAGGGGGTAAAACGGGATCCACGCGTACAAAGTCGCGGGCGGATGCTAGTAGCATATGGGCATAGAATAATAATAAGTACATAATTTATCTATATACAATAGAGTGAAGCGCCGATAGAAACTAGTTACTAGTTAAATTATAAATGAATATTCTTATAATTTATTACTAAAGATGTAAAAAGAATAAACCAATAAGATTAATGATCTGATCACTGTGTAGTTTTATTTAAATGCCTGAGTTTAAAATAAGCAATCGTCATCTTGAAGGTCAAACTACAAGTTTGCTCCTTCGTACATCCTTTTGCGGTCAGTTATCTGTTTTTTTTTTCTACTTTAAATGCCATCCTACTATTGAGGACAAAACCACATTATAATTTGGATTTTTTTTGCTCAAAATGACTATTTTATGACAGATTGTTTGACAAAGTGTAGTTAAATAAATTCTATTTGATTTTAATCTATCTAAAACAGTTTATATCTTAGCAAAAACTTTGCTTTGGAATTTTTTGACCTTGCTTGAAATTATGGATTTCCCACCATATCCACACAGTAGATAAATCAATATATATACTGTGATATCCACTAATATAAAGCTGAAGAGTTAATTTGTTTGTTTGTTTCTGGAACTCTAATCTCAGAAACTACTGGTTTGTCAGAACTGGCATAGTAAACGTATCAATCAAAACAATACAGTATAGACAATGTTTTGAGAGAACGATTGTAATGTTGTTTCGTCGTCGTCGTCGTTTCAGCCGATAGACGTCCACTGCTGGACAAAGGCCTCCCCCAAGGATTTCCACAAAGACCGGTCCTGCGCCGCTTGCATCCAGGCACTTCCCGCGACCTTCACCAGATCGTCGGTCCACCTAGTGGGAGGCCTGCCCACGCTACGTCTTCCAGCTCGTGGTCGCCACTCAAGAACTTTTCTGCCCCAGCGGCCATCAGCTCTTCGAGCTATGTGCCCCGCCCACTGCCACGTGATTTTAGCGATTCTGCGGGCTATGTCAGTCACTCTGGTTCTCCTACGGATCTCCTCATTTCTGATTCGATCACGCAGGGAAACTCAGTAGAGCCTCTCAACAAGTGGGTCTTAAAATGAACATGGACAAGACAAAAATTATGTCAAATGCCCGTGTTGTACCCACTCCTCTGAAGGTTGGAGACACTACACTCGAAGTTGTTGACAATTATGTATACCTGGGACAAACAGTCCAGTTAGGTAGGTCCAACTTCGAGAAAGAGGTTAATCGTCGAATCCAACTCGGCTGGGCAGCGCTCGGGAAGCTTCGCGAAATTCTCACGTCCGAAATGTTGTTTCACATGCTACAAAAATTTCCACTAACAATAAAATTCTTCGCGCATTCAAGCTTCCATACATGTTGATAATTTCTTCTTAAAGTTTAAAGTCAGCGTGCATTGGTATATAGGCAATCAAGTTATGCCTACTTTATAAAATAACTAGCTTTCCGCCCGCGGCTACGCGCGTGTGGACCCCTGAACCCTATGTTTTTACAGAATAAAATTTAGCCTATGTTACTCTTGGATAATGTAGCTTTCGAATGGTGAAAGAATTTTTTAAATCAGCCCAGTACTTTTTGAGCCTATTCATTACAAACACACAAAAATAGGTACAAATCTTTCCTCTTTATAATATTAGTGTAGATATGACCGAATATGGTGAATTATTATACCTACTTCTTCTAAATATATACAACTCAAAGGTGACTGACTGACTGACTGACAGTGATCTATCAACGCACAGCCCAAACCACTGGACGGATCGGGCTGAAATTTGGCATGTAGGTAGACGTTATGACGTAGGCATCCGCTAAGAAAGGATTCTACGAAACTCCACCCCTAAGGGGGTAAAACGGGATCCACGCGTAAGAAGTCGCGGGCGGCCGCTAGTATATTATAAATGTGAGTTTGTGAGGATAATTATACGGATGAATGTTTGTTACTCTTTCAAGCAAAAACTGCTGAATGAATTTTGATGAAATATAACAGTGGGTAGGTAATTAATAATTTTTCATACACATCAGCATAACATATTATAGGGTGTAATTTATACCAATATTGACATAATAAGCCAAATTACAATGAAAAAGTGTGATAATTTTGACTTTTTCATTAATAATCGGTCTTTCTGTGAAAAACTAACGTATTCACAAACTAACTATGAAGTCTCACAGTGCTCGTGGACGCACAAGGCGACACACGAAACAATCACAGAGCTCTATTCAACGCTGTGCGTTCGATTTGCTGCTTCACTTAAGCAAGCATCGTTTGAGAATACGGGCGTGAGTGTTAGGTTTAAAATAAACTGTTCTAATTTCACCTTCACCTGTTTCACTCATTATCACTTATGAAATAAAAGTATTAAGCAACAATACACACCTGGAATCGAACCTGCGACCTCAGAACAAGGCCTTAATAAGTCACATAACGAAGCAAAATTACTATTTACAACGGCCTTACTGAGTGAAAGTGTACCGATACCAGACTATGTTGAAACGCAATCAGTATGCGGATCGCTTTGCAAATGGGTCTTCAAATACTGGTTTGGTGTCCAGTATAACTTAACCTATTACCACTACAGAGTTGTACGACGTTATAGGTCTTGTTAAAACGGGTATTGCTGCTAGTGTAAGCTGACCTATAAACGCTAGACGTGTCTATAGGACAATAGGTCTAGTTTTATTGGAGCCAGTATAGTAAGATCCATGGATGGTATAGTAAATAGTGGAGAAAAGAGGTCTTGGTTTATTTGACGATAATTATAACTTTTCAAATACATGGAACAGTGGAGAACTATATCGTAATCAAGTAAATACTTGGTGTTGTGTTGAATCTATTTTAGGCTTTATGTTTAGGGTGTTTAGTATCAGTTTTGATAAAATGTGATAATAATGTTAGTGCAGTTTAGAAACCTTCGATGATTTGTAATTTGAAACAAACAGACAACATTATGTTATTAATAAAAAAAAATAGACTGCAATGGAAGAAACCATGTTAATTTAATTTTGTAAAATTAATAAGACATTAAAAGTATGAATTATTATATAATTTAAAGGGTATTTTAATCGTGCCTAGAGTCATTAATTTCAAATTAACTTATGCGAAACGAAGTCCTCATTAGTAACATCGTAATTATTCAAAAAAAGCCTGCTTTCGTATTATGCAATTGGAAACCAAAATAAAAACATTTCGCTAAAAACATGACCTACACAAATATAACACAGAATAAAACCATCACGAAAATAAACTTTAAAAACTTTGCAATAAGACACAACACGAATATATAATGACTGACCCGAATATCGAACTGGTAACACTACCAGTTTACTAAAAAAGGTTACGAAATGACAGTTATGCAACGGCCATTTTGAAAAAATCAACTGTCAAACGTGGAACAACGGGGTTTGGCGCGTAGAACTTGGGATCACAGAACTCACTTTTGAATTTGAATTTGGAATGGTACTCGCGTTTTTTTAAGGCGACCTGACGTGCGGTCGCTACGACCGATCGGAGTGGACTGGCTGGCATGGCCACTTGCCTCGAATAGCTACTATTGTAAAGGCTGGTTCAGATTGGTGACAGTTATCAACTAATTTAAACTCGTGACTTTGTCTACCTATTTAAAAACTTAACTGACAACACTAAAACTTAACTGACAATTCTTTGTTGTGCCGTTCACTCGATCGGACGTGTCAGCGCTATGAAAATAAATATTTAATTTAACTATTCACTAGCAAAATCGCGACCTACATTATCGAAACTCGGAAGTGTTTTATCTGTGTCATTTATTTCTAATTGAACACTGAACTTATAATGATTTGTGTATAGACTTGATAATATGGAAGGAAGTCCCTTCAACCGGAGTGCGCTCACGCAGCGCAGCCCTCCGCCCACGCCCACGCAGCACGCGCCGCCCGCCGCCCCCGTCATGGAACCACTCGAAGTGGTGGCCACTTCAGAACTCCAGAACTGGATGAAGAGCATCGAGCAGTGCCTGAATGAGGTGTGCATAATCTCATCGGAAGGAAAGCTCAACACTGACCAGAAACTGAGGATTAGTAACCTGTGCAGAAGGGTGAGCAATGGAACATCCCAAATGGCCGTACAATACCAGTCGCTAAAGCAAAAGGCCATTCAAGCTCATAGCAACATACAGGTCCTTAAAGAAAGTCAAGACATTTCACAGCAACTTCAAGACCTCAAGAAAAGCATAGAAGTGACCTCAAAACCTATCTCGGGAGCGTTTTCCTTTGCTGACATGGTTAAAAAGAGTCCTGTCAATTTTATTCAGCCCAAAAACTTCAGTTCTGTAGCGATTTACCCGAATGATAAAATGAAGTCAAGCGAGGAAACCAAGTCCCTAGTGCAAAAAATAATTAAGCCCGAAGAAATGAAATTGCACGTGAGAGGTCTACGGAAAACTAGAGATGGCGGCGTTATCATCAGCACCAACTCCAAAGACGACATCGAGAAGATAAAGCAGTCAACGCAATTAAGAACATCAGGCCTCATCATAGACGAGACGAAGAAACGGAAGCCCAGGATTATAGTACTGGGAGTTCCTGCTTCCATGGATGAAACTGAGGTATTTAAATGCATATACCATCAAAACCTAGCCGACAAACTTCAAAATACGTCACTGGAAGCGTTCATGTCCTCTATTAAGCTAAGCCATAAATCAGGGAGGAAAGACACCGAAACCTGTAATTATGTAATTGAAGTCACAGCTCAAATACGGAAGACCTTGATAGCAAATGACAGAGTTTTTGTGAACTGGTCATCGTGCCCTGTTAGAGACTTTACCCTAGTGACAAGGTGCTACAAGTGTCAGCAGTATGGACACGCTGCTAAGACCTGTCGTGAAGCNTTTTGAAACATTTTTCGGTATTTATAAGCTATATTTTTTACCGATTTTTTAAAAGCACTATCACCTAGTCGGCTAAATTGTACCACATCAAGTTGTATGGAACTTTACCAAAGGATTTTGAATTTTTTTTTAGTTAATCATATTTTGAAGTTATAATAGCGTAGTTATGTTTAACTAACAATAAATGAAAGCAAAATACTGGCAAAGTAGATTAAGTACAAGTGTGCGTTACGATAATTGCAATTACAAAACTTGTACTCAAAATCGTGATAACGTGTAAAACAATATCGATTGTCTATGTTATTAACTACTGTTTCTTTTCGTTTCCTAATTTTTTAAGAATGTATCGTATAATATTTTGCCATAGTTTTTTTATAGGCTTGAAATTTATTGAAATCCAATTTAGTAACCCAGTGGTACAAATTATCGAACCGGTTGGCTAAATTGGACCGATGCTCTGAGCTCGTATTTTGTTGATTTGTGCTAAATATACAACAATCATGTTAATTAATACTTATGAAATAGTAAGTTGAATAATGTATCTTTTATTATATACCATGAACATCAGCAAAAACAAAAGAAAACTATGTGTAAAATGGGATTGAAAAAAACTGGTCCAAATTAGCGGACTCTCCCTTAAATATTAGATTATATATTTTGCTAGAAATAGTTCTATTAATAAAGTAATGTAGGTAAGCCTTTTTTTGCCTGAGATACAGGAATTATAATTCTTAGTTCAGGCACGTATGTACTTTTACCTATTATAGTTTAATATTAGCCTATTGTTAAAAACTGTCAATAAGTTATTCAATAAAGAATTTATTTATTTATTCAATAAAGAATTTATTTACTAAATATTTTGTTTATTACAGTTGTTTAGTTCAGGTGAGATACAGACCAAGAGCTTCCTTGTTGTGGATAAAAAAATAAAAATAGTACCTGATTCTGCTAAAAAAAGAAATTGAGAAAAGTCAACCCGGAAAAAAGATAAAAATTTAAAGCCCATTATTTTTTAAAAGTTACAAAATGAATGAATAACTTCTAAAATACGAAATATCGTAGAAAACATACATGGGGGTGAAATCGATAGGTCTCACCTATCACCTGGCTTCGACTTGACACCTTACAGGAACCACCCTGTATATAATATATAGTTGTCTATAATCGTGTATATTATAATTTAAAATCTAGCGTGTCTTTAATTGGCTGTCAAATTAATTGCTCGTGATTGAGCAGATTCTGCTACCACCGTATTAAGTATATTAACGATTCCGTTTCCGTTTAAAATTAATCGCTATATATGTGAAGATTTGATGATTTTTTAAAATAAAATAAGCAATTTATCAATTTCTTATTTGTATTAAAAAGACAGCATATTTTTTCTAGTTTTAACTTCAGTAAGTAAGAGTCATTAATAATGTACAATATCACTGCTACGCCCATTACTGCTGGACGTAAGAATCTCTCAAACAGATCTCCCGCATTTTACGGGATGGACTGTAGATGATGACGTTTACACAGCTCAAAAAAGTATTTATTTATTTATACTTCAATGCCAAAAATATTAACATTAGGCGAACTTAATGCCATAAGGCATTCTCATCCAGTTTACCTTTGGGTTGTCTTTTGGTATGTCAATTCATATTTTACTTCTTGCGCTGCTTCTTCTCAGCCCTGACCTATTTATTGTCCCGAAGCAGTGGTAGGGTTAATACTGGGACGTGTAAAAGCCTACTTACAAAAAAAAAAGAGTTTTATGAGTTGTATGACTTTTTATTCATTTTAGGACTAGCAGACTTAAGAGCCGTGAATTGCTTGGTAAAGCCTGGTCCGTGAGCACGTAGAATTTTGTCGAATGGCTCGCACACTCACTGCGGGTGCCCGTCGCACAGTCGCGACAGCAATATAATTACGCGCGAGCGATAAGGATGGCTAGCTTGGGGTCATTGGACAAAATTTTACGTGCTCACGGACCAGGCTTTAGAGTAATAAAATTTATCTCATTAGAGAGTTACTTAACTCTAGCATCTTATTTTCTTACTTACTCTCATAGCTCAGTGACCTAAAGTACGTCTTGACCTGGGATAGGAGATGTTGACGACCGGCCCCCACTAGGTGGACCGACGATCTGGTGAAAGTCGCGGGAAGTGCCTGGATGCGGGCAGCGCAGGACCGGTCATTATGGAAATTCTTGGGGGAGGCCTTTGTCCAGCAGTGGACGTCCTGTGGCTGAAATGATGATAATGTGGTGTGGTGGCCGGGCAAGCTATATTTGGGACGTGTGTAAGTGCCCTGGAAAGGACGTATGTACTGAATAAACTAATTTAATTTGATTTGATATGACATGACTGTACATGACTGTACTGTATTGACATTCCACCAGCTCGCACTAAGCGTTTCGATGACTCTTTTATAATGCGAACAGCTAGAGACTGGAATTCGTTGCCTGCTGCTGTCTTTTCTGAAGACTAATCTGGGCCTTTTCCAGGCGAGAGTGAATAGGCACTTGCAGGGCAGATAATTATGTACCATCCTAGACTGCATCCCACTTAACATCAGGTGCGATTGTGGTCAAATACCTGCCTTGTTATGCATAAAAAAACACAGTTCAAATTAACAAACCAAAATAAATAATTTACGTATGTTCCACGAATGAACGTATTTTTATTTTGATACAAAGTACTCCAATATAACCGAGCCCTAACATTATGCATATCACACTCACACTCGCGCGCATGCAAAACGCGGCATAATGCATGCGGCGCACGCTAGCGGTCGCGTGCGGCTCCGCTCGCATCCGCGTGCAGTGGTGGCGATTTATGGTCACCAGTACTCAGTAATATACAGGTATATTAATACATTCCTTTATGTTTCTGTTTATCTATATATATAAAAGATAGTCGTGTTAGTTACTCCACTTACCTATAACTCAAGAACGGCTGAACCGATTTAACTGAAAATTGTCAGGGAGGTAGTTTAGAGCCAGGAGAAGGACATAGGATACTTTTTATTCCGTTCGAAATTAAAAAAAAAAGTCTGCTTATTTATTGCCATTAAGGCGGAACAAAGTTCGCCGGGTCAGCTAGTTTTTAATAAACCGAATGCCATTAGCGATTGTAGAGTCGACTAATTTAGAATACCTAACTAATTTTGAATTATCAAATTGTATATCTAGTTGAGTCAAAGATACTGTGCCTTAATCTCAATAAAAAAATCATATCAAATTATCTTACACCACGTAATTACTAAGGTGATTATCACACTGCGCCGCGCTCCGCCGCGGTACGCGGGACGACAGATTTAATCATTGTATGTAAGTACCTCAGTTTGTATAGAAAACACACGCGGCACAACACACTGACAACGCGTCTGCGCGCGGGATTTTTTATATGAAATCACGCGGACCGCGGCGGAGCACGGCGCAGTGTGATAATCGCCTTTTTTTCTTTTTTTTTATCCACAACGAGGAAGCTCTTGGCCTGTATCTTACCTGATGGTAAGTGACGATCAGGCCGAAGGTGGAAGCGAGCTTCACCCGGAATCCTCAACCACGGAGGAACTGGCTATCTTACCTCTAACTGCCGGAACACAACAATGCTGTTAACATTGTTGTTATGGCGACAGACTTAGGTAAGATGGTGGTAGCTAGCCCGGCGGACTTAGAACAAGCCCTACCACCAACCAAACCGAACAGAAAAATCTGCCCCCACTGGGAATCGAATCCGGGACCTCTGCGTCGGAAGCAGGTGGTCTTACCACTAGACCATAGAGGCCGTAGTATGAATACACATCAATCTGGAGTAGATTAGGGCCATTCCTACTCTTCCCGTAAGAGACGGTTAAGGGAGAGTTATGCGAACATCAGGTACGGGACGACCTAGTGGTAAAGTGCTTTAACATGCCAGCATACACGCAAGAGGTCAGGGTACGATTCCCAGCCCGGCAGAAATTGAAATTATTAATTTTAATTTCTGTGACGGGTCTGTTACTAGTATAATATTATGTATCTAAAAAGTATCTAAGGCTGAGTTGCACCATCTTCAAAAACTTTGACAAACGTCAAAAATCTGTCAAAATCCATACAAAAAGCACCGGTTATCGTCAAAGTTACGGTCAAAGTTGGGTGGTGCAACCCAGCCTAAGTAGTACAATATTCATTAACCTAGCACCTATAACACAAGCATATTAGTTGCTTACTAGATGGCGTTGTTTGAAATTTTCCAAAGATATTTATTTAGGTATTTGTTAAAAATTAAATAATTTAGTTCTGCCCCACAATGCCTCCGGTGAAAGGTGTCGTTTTGTAAGCCTACCTAGGTGGCAGATAAGCCGGTTGTCGACCTTGAGGTAAGCTCGATCTAGCGCCACTACATTGGGACACTGCGACAAAACATGATGGAATTTTCCATACATTTTGTATGGGACCGGTGCACTTAGATGCCCGCAGACTATAGACTGCATACTATGTGCCCTGCCCATTGCCAATCCAGCTGCTAATCCGTCGGGCTATGTCAGCCACTTTAGTTCGTTTACATTTTACGTTGGTTTACGGCCGATGGGACAGCAAGGTTCTGGAGTGGAGGCCGCGTACCGGAAAACGCAGCGTGAGACGTCCACTTACAAGGTGGACCGACAACATCATAAAGGTAGCAGGAAGGCGCTGGACGCAGGCCGCTACCAACCGGGCAACATGGAAAGCATTGGGGGAGGCCTATGTCCAGCAGTGGACGTCCTATGGCTGAGATAATGATGATGATGGTATCGGCCGATTCCTCATACAAAGAAGTCGACCCAAGTATCGGCCGATTAAAGTCGGTAGTCTGTCGCTGTGACTCATATCAGTGAGTTAATTTGAGTGAAAGTAGGACTTTAAAGGACTATTCACACCTCTCGTTCCCACCGCTGCAACTCCTGTGTAGCCAGGATCTACAGCTTGACCGCCAATAAAAACCCAACCAGTGAAGGTCAAGTTTGTCCCGGGGGCAAATTAAATTGTTACTAGACCCAAAACGAAATTAATTAATTGAGGTACATATAAAAAAATATAAATAAAGAGCTAAGGACAATTATTTTTTGTTTTGTTTATTGCTATGACAAGTTCAATATAAAATTATAATATGAGAAAAAAATACCATGCGGTTACATTCAAAACCATTGGAATTTTCATAAAAGAAAATTCGAGATTTTTTCTTAATAATTTATCACAAAATGACTGGATATATAGTATCTTAATATATAAAAGGAGATAAATGTAATAAAGTGTAAACACGATAATGATTGCTTATAGCACTACACAAAATTAATAAAATACGTTTATTCGACGCTAACATAATAAATACTTGAAAATAATCTATACAAAATAAAAATGAATTGCTGTTCGTTAGTCTGATTAAAACTCGAGAACGGCTGGCCCGATTGAGCTGATTTTGGTTTTAAAATGTTTGTCGTAGTCCAGGGTAGGTCTAAACGGTGAGCAAATAAGGAAAAATTGCGATGGCTTATTTATTGCCTTTAAGGCGGCGGAACAGAGTTCGCCGGGTCAGCTAGTAGGTAAATATTAATTAAATACTGGCTTACATTTGACTTTAGACATTTGGGAAATTAATCTAATAATTTAATTTAAATCGAAAATAATTTATTACATTTAATTTTACAAATTAATCCATCGCTATCATGCTCTCCTCTATCGATCTCTTTCTGTTCTGTTGCTGTCTCTTTCGTCTCGCTTCTAATCTTCTGAGGTTGAACTTGTGTACTACATTCGACGAGTAATTCCTGTAACAAATACAGATTAAAGATAACGCAGCGTGTGACGTCCACCTACAAGGTGGACCAACGACATCGTAAAGGTAGCAGGGAAGCGCTGGACGCAGGCCGCTACCAATCGATCAACGTGAAAAGCATTGGGGAAGGCCTATGTTCAGCAGTGGACGTCCTATGGCTGAATGATGATGATGATGATGAGATAAATGAAAACTTTACGAAGAAATTTTCAATTTCCTTGTTTACTTACTTGTAACGTACAAGTATTGTATGTAACAACATTAAAAGTACATAACATCCCCATGTAAATTAAATGTCCTTCCAAAAACCTTAATAATTACTTACTTAATAAAAAACTTTGAATAAATTATTAAATGTCATTATCATTTCAACTTCAGCTTGTCCAGCTGCTTGTGCATGGCTCTTGTCTTATCACCTTCAGCTTGACCAGCTGCTTGTGCATTATTCTTGGCAACTCACCTTCAGCTTGTCCAACTGCTTGTGTATTGTTCTGGTCTTCTCACCTTTAGTTTGTCCAGCTGCTAGTGCATGACTCTTGTTTACACACCTTCAGCTTGTCCAGCTGCTTGTGCATTGTACTTATCATCACACCTTCAGCTTATCCAGCTGCTTGTGCATGATTCTTATCATCACACCTTCAGCTTGTCCAGCTGCTTGTGCAGTGTTCTTATCATCTCACTTTCAGCTTGTCCAGCTGCTTGTGCAGTGTTCTTATCATCTCACTTTCAGCTTGTCCAGCTGCTTGTGCAGTGTTCTTATCATCACACCTTCAGCTTGTCCAGCTGCTTGTGCAGTGTTCTTATCATCACACTTTCAGCTTGTCCAGCTGCTTGTGCATGATTCTGGTCTTCTCACCTTCAGCTTGTCCAGCTTCTAGTGCATGGTTATTGTCAATTTCGCCTTAGCTTGTCCAGCTTCTTGTGCATTGTTATTGTCAATTTCGCCTTAGCTTGTCCAACTGCTTGTGCATTGTTCTGGTCTTCTCACCTTTAGCTTGTTCAGCTAAAGTACGGCCAACGAGAAGCGATACCAAATGTAAACAAACCAAATGTCATGGGTGAACCCATCTGACTTTGACATATTTTGGCGGGAGAACGAGACAGTACGACAAATACACAAGATGGGAAGAGACAGAATATATTGTCAACTCGACAGTCGTATCGACCTTTTGTATCGCTGCTAGTTGGCTGTACTTCACTTGTGCATAACTCTTGTTTTGTCACTTTCAGCTTGTCCAGCTGCTTGTGCATGATTCTGGTCTTCTCACCTTCAGCTTGTCCAGTTTCTTGTGCATGGTTCTTAACACTAGAGTACACGCGCGGCCTACTAGAGTAGACCAGGGTAACATTTTACGCTATAACTTTTTAAGAACTTGCGCCAGAGAGCTTACATTCCAGGAAAGCCTCGTTTACTAAATTGTCAATAAGCCAGTAAATTTTGGGTCGCTAGCGTCTATGCACTTTTCTAAAATTGGCCGTCAAAACTGCGGGTCTACTCAAAAGCCCGAAATCACTCAAGAAAAAAAATATGGAAGACTTGCAAAAAATGGATTTACCCCGTGTACCAGACAGTAGAAAGTCTTGAATACTATGACAGATAAAAAACAAATCATATTTTATCAGTAATTTTTTTTTACGAACATGGATCTCAGAGTGCAATTTTGGTCCAAAAAAATTACAACTTTTTAATCTGTTTATAATGTTTTATCCCAAATAGTTATACAAAGAAACTTTGATTATAAAAGAACTATCATAAACACTTTTATCATTTACATAGTAATTTTATTTATAAATTGCTTATAAACTGATTTACAGTGATTTTGAATTGGCTTACCAGAGTAGGCCGCGCGTGTATTGGTGTAAAAAAAGGGGCGCGTGTACTGCAGTGTTAACAATCCCACGTTCAGCTTGTTTTGTGGTTTCAACCAAATGCCATCCACTGCTGGACAAAGGCCTCCCTTAAACATACCATAACCATAGAGCTGGTATCATTCAGTTCTAAATACCAAAGTTTTCTACAGAGATAAAGAAAAAATATACAATACATACGATACGTACACCCGAAAAACATAATCCTCCTTGGCGCAGTCGGGTAATAAAGCCTTGCTTGCTTGGGATTGTAAAGTAAGGAAAACAAAGAATTGTGTATGTTAAAATGTTTACAAAATCTTTTATTTAAGTTTTCAATTTCATATAAAATATCTTAATCAATTACAAATCTCTACTTTGTACGTTTTAATAAAATATCACATAAAATTACTGGTATGACTAAGGTTATGGTAACTTAAGTTTCTCTTATAGCTAATGTATTACTATGCTTCATTTATATTATTTTAAGTTAAATAATACTAGCTTTCGCCCGCGGTTTACCTGTGAAAAACCGGATAACTGTCCCATGATTTTTTTTGCATTTCAGTATTACAGATAGATATAACATTGTCTGTGTAAAATTTCTTTGATAATGTAACTTTAAAACCTTGTATATACTAGGACACAAACAGGCCCTAAAATATGATGCCCAACACTCAGTCTGCGTGACACTGCAACGGTTTTCGTGCTCCACAACATTCCATGCAACATTTTCGATAAAATCTCTCATTCGACTAAGTTACTTCTTGATATTGATATATTGATATAAATAAGTAGGCCAATATCAGTTTAGTACAGCCTATGATAGGTGCATTCGAGTAGAATCTGAACGTAGTAGAATATTATGTTGGTAACGTCTGCTTCAGTAAGAGCAACAAGTCGCTTCATTTGTCCCGAAATATCAAACTTGTGGGTGCTAAATTACATTACATGCATAGAAAATAGTTGTTTATGTACAGTATTGGATATAATAAAGTATTCAGCAATACTGGAAAATTTAATTAGGGATGATGACTGGGTAATGAAATGGAAATTCTATTTAGTCCGTCCGACAGATAATAAAAAAATTTTGGACACATATTTTTTTTTTTTCATAATCGAATAATTACAGTATTATATTGAGTTGAAATGTCGCGTGACGTCACTTTTGAGTAAAAAGTCTACGCAAGCGTGACGTAACGTGCCATTTGAAGTCGATGTAGCACTGTTATTATTTAATTATGAAAGAAAATAAAAAATATGAGTGTAATATTTTCTAATTATCTGTCTGACGGACAAATATTTGAAATTTTGTCATCTATCCTATTGTCATCAGTGACCAATAGCAATGTAGATGGTGGCACATCAAGGTACATTTATAGCTGCAATGATTTTATTAAACCACACATCATGTAGTTTAGTAAAATCATACGACTTAAAAAAATAAGATTTTTAGCTGTTTTGAAATTAATGACTTATTTAGTCAATTTACTTGGTAAAAAATGAAGTCTACTATTGCTACAAAATCTACACTAAAAAAATTGTTGTTTTTTATCATGGCTAATAAACTCGACTTTGTGATGGCTTCTCTATAATCGTTTTATCCACGTAGACGCGCCCCACCATTCTTCCGCGAATGTTTGAGTGTTATCGGTACACGCTAATGATCCATGAGTGCACACGCACACTACAATAATGCCGCTCGGATTGCTCGGATCACACTCCCCGCACCCCGCGCATCCCTCGACCAAAAAGTGGTGGGGCGCGTCTTCGTGGATCCCCCACCCCCTTCATCCCCCTTCGTGATTCCCACCAATTTTAGGTCTCGGTCGCGGGGAGTTTGATCCGAACAATCCGAGCGTCATTATTGTAGTGTGCGTGTGCATTCATGGATGATTTAGCGTCTACCGATAACACTCAAACATTAGCGGAAGAATGGTGGGGCGCGTCTTCGTGGATGAAACGATCTATATTCTAAGTTATTTATGAATGACACATCATAGTCGCATTATTAAGCAGTTGTATTAATTACTAATTTGCATTAGAGTAGGCGCAGGCCGTTGATTTTTCGTCGGCCGATAGTTTAGTCGGGCAGTTGATCAGCATGTATGGGAGTGCGCACACTACGCCGATTCGATTTGGCCGATTCTTCATACAATTTAAAATCGGGCGCAACTATCGGCCAACTAAAAATCAACGGTGTGCGCCTACTCTTATAGTTTGATATCTGTAGATTATAGAAAATACTTTGCCGATCGAATCGAAACCAATGTACATTATCTACAGCAGAATCAACATCAATCCCATCATTGTACAGTGAAGTTCCATGCATATGCATTCGTGTATACTAAACTACAGTTAAATATATTTGTCTACTTTTTGCCCGCTATGTAGTTGCCTTGCTCGTCCTTGTACAGGTCTTCGTTGATGCCGTAGTACGCTGGAGAGCTGGGGCAGTCCACCTGGAATGATACAGTTAGTTTTTTAAGAAAGGGAACTTAATTATAGAGGCTACAAGCTTATGCTCGCGACTCCACTCGCGTTTTACTTTGGACCAGCTTTGCTTCGCTCTTTGGGAGTGTTTTTTGGAAATCTCTTCATTCAAATTATTTATTTGAATGCTGCAATTGGCTGAAATCAGTTCAGCCACCTGCAGAAAGAGAGGGTGTACATGTGTGGTTTGATAATAATAATATGATTTGCGAGTGAATAAATATTTGCATGCCTTATAGCACAATATGTTTCAGTGAGTAATTTGAGCTGTAGCTACTAGTAATGGTTGCCATATTTGTAGCAAATAATATCTTCTTTTTTCCTTCTCATCCGAGAGCGACCCTCCACTTCTGGACATGCTGGACAAGGCCTACATCCACCAAGGATTTCCTTGAGATAATCTTTGACTTAGAACACTTCCAGGCAGGAACAATAGTTGTTTTCTACTGAATACCAGGTTCAGGAAACCGCAATATGACGACCTTGAAGGTCTGGATAGTGACTTAGCGCAAGTTATACCTATTGGAAAGTTTGAAAGTGCCTACAATGTAGGTACCTACCTATGTAATAATGAAGAACAAAGCTAATGTTGTACTAACCTTGAAGAACCAGTCGCAGACCCTCGACCGCTGGTTAAAGACGGTTCCTGGAGCGCACACGAAAGAATACATCACGTTCCCTCCAATGCTTGGAACGCACCAGTGCCATACCTTGAAGACAACAGAAAACAAAAAATATAAGTAGGTAATTAGGCAAGTAAAAAAGAAAGGAATATCCTGTCAAGTTATTGACCATTTCAGCTTCTACTCTCTCAAAGAAAAAAGTATTTGTCATAGATCGTTAAGTGGGCAAAAAACGCAACTGCATGTGGATAGTAGGTATATAAATGAACCTCTAGTACCTCACGATCGTGCGATTTGAAATGCGCGAGTGACAACGCTTCATCTGGACCAGTTCTTGGTAAAACGAAATCCAGATGAAAATTGAATTTTTTACCAGTCTATACTATGAAATACTTCGTCCTAAACTGATAAAAAATGTACACAACCGTTTACGTTCCCTTCGAGAGTTGTATAAGCAAAATATCGTAGCGCCAAAACTTTGCTTTCAAATAATTGTAAGAGCCTTCGAGAGCTCTACCAGCAAAACATCGTAGCTAAAACTCTACTATGAAAATAATTTTAGGAGCAAACAATTTTCCTTATTTCGTTACTACTGTAAGTTTATTTAACTGGAATATCATGCAACATCTATACTAATATTATAAAGCTGAAGAGTTTTTTTGTTTGTTTGTTTGTTTACTTGAACGCGCTAATCTCAGGAACTACCGGTCCGATTTGAAAAATTCCTTCAGTTTTAGATAGCCCATTTATTGAGAAAGGCTATAGGCTATAAACCATCACGCTACGAGTAATAGATGCAGAGCAAAAATGAAAAATGTTGCGAAAACGGGTTTTCACGCGTACGAAGTCGCGGGCACAGCCAGTAATGAAATAAATCAAATGCATTTAAGTACATACCTGGCACATGGTCTCTGGGTCGGCGTAATACCCGGGTATTTTGTCATCACATGTGAAGGAGAGCCCGCTTGGAACCTCCGTGTAGATGGGGTAGTCTTCACCTGGTACATAGCCGTCTAACGCCTGAAAAATAATAATTAAGTATTTTAACTTCACTCCTATTATCTGTACAAAAAAATCTACATTTATTGACATTTATAGATCAGTAACCACGATCTAACAACTCACAGCTCAAACCACTGAACACTGAAATTCGGCAATCTTGCTTGCTTTCTCAATAATATTATTATGGCGTGGGCATCCGCTAAGAAAGGATTTTCAAAATTTACTTAAGGGGATGAAATGGGGTCAATAAGCGAGTGTAACTATTTACTTAGTCAATGAGACAGACTACATTAATTTACACTAGTTGTCCTTAGGTTTTTAACCCAAAACTTCTGACAATGAGTCGAAAGTCTCCAACTACAGGGGAATGTAGTCACGATAGGTATACTTAATATACAATTGGTCAGTGATATTACCTATCAACTTTAATAGCTTACACATGTTTGATCCTCTAAATTACCTATAAACACGATTAGAATCAATAATTCAATTGAAAGCCATATTTTTTCCTTCTTCCATTTCCCATTCACAAGTCATATCAATTATAGATCGTAATTCAATTTTAATTGTTCCTCTTAATCACTAGTTATAATAATTGCCTAATTTACTATAATTATAGCAACTGTATTACATTTGACGCGCATAAATAGATAATGGATGTTTGCTATAGTTAGTTAGCTCTTTAGTGTCACGCTATGGCAGGAAAATACCTATCTATTTAATGGGAAAATGAAGAGGAATTTTAGCGCCTCATGGTTTTAGTTTGATGTTGTTTCGAATAAGTAAAAAAATTGCAACCTTCATCTTCATCATCGTCATTAAATTTTGTGTCAATCCTCTATTAATATAACAGAAGCAAATAGAGGATATGGTAGTATAAAAGTAATTTTAAGGGGGTTTCTTACTTCTTTTTCTGTGGGGTGCATTCAGCTTGTAACGTTTTAACCTAAATTACATAGCGGTTTTTACATTTTTTGGGTGTTCCACTAAGGTCTCGAACCCGGGACTTTTAGATTAAGAAAACTAGGAAATCGTAAGTTCATTTGTTTTAACCAGAGGACCTCCACTGCTGGACAAAGGCCTCCCCAAAAGATTCTCACAACAACCGGTCCTGCGTTGGCGCATCTCACAACCTTTAGGTACTAGATCGTCAGTCCACTAAATGGAAATTGTAAATATTATTACACACTTACAGCTATTGATCTATCGATGATGTACAGGAATACCGCAAGGAGCCCCACGGAACCCAGGCTGAGTTGACGAAGTCGCAGTTGGGTCATGGTGACTGTTGATCCCTAATTATAGGTTCTGGAAAAACCTGGAACAAAACATGACAATTTAGAATAACTTAGGAAAGCTGGATAACGGGCCTATTCCCACCTCTCGTTCCACCACTGCAACTCCTGTGTAGCCAGGATCTACAGCTTGACCGCCAATAACCCAACCAGTGAAGGTCAAGTTTGTCCCGGGGGAAAGATAACTGTCACTGGACCCGCGACGTGGGTAGGTTGCCAGTTTAGTGGTTAGGGATTCCGGGTGAAGCTCGCTTCCACCTTCGACCTGATCATCACTGTCCATCTGGTGAGATGCAGGTCAAAAGCTTCCCCATTGTGAATGCTTAATAGTAACGCTTTAAGCTCTATCCGATCCAAAAGAGGGTGATGCTTAAGCTCAAATACATATACGCCCGTATTGACAAACGATGCTTGCTTTAGTGAAGCAGCAAATCGAACACATAACGTTGAATAGAGCTCTGTGATTGGTTCGTGTGTCACCCGGTACGTCCACGCGCACTGTGAGACTCCACAGTAATGTTTGTGAATACGGGTGATATTGTAATTTCATTGAGTTTAATGTTTCACAGTCATCATCAAGTCATTTAGTTTCCAATGCAAATGCTTGACCCTTTAAAAGCAAATGGAGGATTTGGCAAAAGTCTCCCCACTCTGGCCATCTGACTAAAAGCCCCTTTAGTCGCCGTCGTAAGAGGCGACTAAAGGGGCTTTTAGTAAGTTTACTACCAATATTACCTACATGTTACTTTCTTAAAACTACTTAACAAGCACCGACGATCTGTGTGTTTACCATGAGTTTACGTTAGGTGTGCTCGCTAGCGGCTACGTAAAAAAATGACATTAATTGTATGACATATTGTGCAGCGCCCCTAGCGGCTACTTTCAAGAAACAAAATCTTTATAGAGATTTTTGACGTACTCGCTAGCGAGCACACCTAACGTAAACTCATGGTAGGTGCACAGGTGAAGGTCGCGGGAAGAGCCTGGATGCGGGCAGCGCAGGACCGTGCATTGTGGAAAACCTTGGAGGAGGCCTTTGTCCAGCAGTGGACGTCATTTGGCTGAAACGAACGAACTTAGCGCCTAAAATTCCGTCACCACTGTCTATTGCTTAAATTATCATTTTAAACAAAAAAACAACATCAAACTTCCATCTTAGAACAATGCCTGCCTTCTTATTACAATATTTACAGCTTAATTTGGATATTACAAAGCGTCTGCCCATGGGAACTTAACCAGAGCAGCCTTCGCGATTGCATTGTATCCATAATATTATCTTCTCCCACGATGTTGGTCCATCATTTTGACATCTGGCCAACTATGTAATTGGTCTATTGGCTGTTGTAAGAAAGGTGGTGAAAAACAGCCGGTCTATAAATGACTAGCGGCCGCCCGCGACTTCGTACGCGTGGATCCCGTTTTACCCCCTAAGAGTAGGCGCACACCGTTGATTTTTAGTTGGCCGATAGTTGAGCCCGATTTTAAATTGTATGAAGAATCGGCCAAATCGAATCGGCGTAGTGTGCGCACTCCCATACATGCCCATACTGATCAACTGCCCGACTAAACTATCGGCCGACGAAAAATCAACGGTGTGCGCCTACTCTTAGGGGTGGAGTTTCGTAAAATCCTTTCTTAGCTGATTCCTGCGTCATAACATCTACCTGCATGCCAATTGCAGCCCGATCAGTCCAGTATAAGTCAATAAGGAATTTAAATATTACAGATTTTGTAACTTGAAATTAAACTCAATAACGATTCGAGCAACAGCGAAGTATCAAAAAAGCTAATTAGAAAATTATAATAATGAAATCCACAATTATTATTATGGATTTAATTACTAACAAATGAAATGAAAACGACTTGTAAACAAATAAAAGCATAATGACATTTCAAAAGAGTTTTAATTACGTTTTGAAATGATAATGGCGGAGTTAAACTCATCCCAGCACAATTTTAGAGAGGTTTCAGCAATTAAGTTAATGTAAGGCTAAGCCTTGAGGTGATTCTGAAATTGTGCCCTTTCCTTTTAGTTTTAAAACTTACACAAAGTCAAAAATGCCTCTATTTGTATACGAGACAATTCCCACTTCTAGTTCTCACCGCTGCAACTCCTGTGTAGCCAGAATCTACAGTTTGACCGCCAAAAAAAAAACCCAACCAGTCAAGGTCAAACTGTAGATCCTGGCTACACAGGAATTGCAGCGGTGGGAACGAGAGGTGGGAATAGTCCCGTTAACTTATTTTCTTTTAGGTATTTGTCAGTTTTGTGTGGCTTTAAATGAGAGCGAAAGGTGACTGACTGACTCACTCATCACGATATCTCAGAAACTACAAGTGCTAGGAGTCTCAAATTTTGCATGGGGGTTCCTTTTAGAACGTAGGTGCTCACTAAGACGGGGTTTTGCAAAATTCAACTACTAAGGGGGTAAAACGGGGGTTGGAAGTTCCACCGCGGGCAGTCGCTAGTAGCACGGTAATAATATCATACAGTATTGTAACTTCATATAAACGGATGAAACGCGAGCTTTCCTTCGAAATTCAAATCTCGGTATGCGCTCGACATGCAAAAGTCAGGGGTGTCGCGAGTATGCCACAGTAATAAAGGTTGTGTTGTTTTTTAAACAGTAAGCGCTCTTTTTTTATAAAAATAATTACAAGTATCTATTTATCAGGGTGTTAGGTAAATGGGTTTATAAACCGACACTTGAGCATGTTAATGTTAACCTATGCATATAAATGGTATGGTGAAGTCGGTGATATCATCGTTTTATTTTTTTTAATTTTCATACAAAATAAAATTTATGAAATCGGATTAGTATGAAAATTTAAATTATTAAAAAGATGATATCAAGTTTCTGACTTCACCATACCATTTATATACCATGGGCTTGTGTCGGCTTATAAACCCATTTACCTAACACCCTGTATAATAAAATCAAGCATTATGTACGCCTAAGTTGAGACGCATACGTACATTTTACGGTCGTAAATTTATAAGATTTTTTATTTTAAATCTTAACACAAATATATTTTACTAATCACAAAACAACATGCATTTTTATCCTATTTCATTCACAAGGTATTTTGTTTGTCAAAATAAAATGAAAATTACAATCACAAAATACATTCACAATACGTAAAAATTCAAAGTAGGCAAATGTAATGAAAATAGGGTCTGCAAGTGGGCAGCCCTATCGCATGTTGTCATACGGTGACGTTCCACGCGGCTGTTGACATTTATTTCAAAAATATGGCCGAGTTGGAATACTGTATAGATAGTATTACCGTGCTAGTAGAGTACGTACTGACCAAATAAATACGTATTGGTTGATTTTTGCAGCAATCGAAAACATGATAATATCATTACCGTTGTCCCACACGCTTTGCATAATCGAACAATTGATAATTACAGTTCAATTACAATCGCAACTCTACTTCTTGTGGCCGCGGAAAGGCTTTGTTCCATTCTGAATGTAATTAGTGCGTACAACACTATGTTTTAGACATGTATGTTATTATTGTAACCATGTAGGGTCTTGTAATTAAAAATTTGTTAATTTTGTAATTAAAGTCATGTCTAAAAGATTTACATACACTTTACTACAAATTAACTGCCCTTTGTGTTGACTAGAAGATATTTTTTCTACACTAATATTATAAAGAGGAAAATTTGATTGTTTTTAAATAGGCTTCAAAACGACTGGACTTAATTAGCATCCTACAGTATTTCTGATGAACATAAGCGGTACAAAGTTCGCCGGGTCAGCTAGTTTAGTCATAAGACCGCTTTAGCCGTGTGTTTTTGGCAAAGAAGAAGTCTCTTCTCGTGGATATGTTAAGAGCAACTAAGAGACAAATAATTATATACAATCAGACCTCCCCAACCCGTCTGGCCAGCGTGGGGAGTGTAGGCCAAATCCTCCATTTGCCTCTGGTCAATTAGAGGGTCAGGCTCCGGCAGTGGAGACTAAATATAACCCAAGTTACCTAGTTTTTAAACTTTTTTAGTGTACACTGTATTTTATTGCAATAAATAAATATTATGTTGATAGACTAATAAAATATACAGTTCGGTGCCTTGATAACTAAGGCTGAGTTGCACCATCTTACTCTAACTTTGACAAACGTCAAAAATCTGTCAAACTTTATACATAAAACACCGGATATCGTTATATACTCAACATCAAATAAACCGCACCTTCCGCGACGCGAACTTTAACGATTTTCTTCTGACACAATCATGGTGCCCCAACAATATTGGTGTTATTTGATTGTATATCCTTAAAGAAAAACACATTTAACTTCTTAATAAATGATTAACATATACCATAAATGTGACTTGAAAAAATACCTCACTTTGGGCCCACCTATGGGATCAATGAGACCAATTTTTATGGTTGTAAAACCAAATAATGATCCCACGTGTCCTCTTTAACAGATGGATAGCGATTAATCCCAACTTAACAGTTTTATAGCCATAAAAGTTGGCTCTAGCGTAACTACCTATTTTTTGAAGAAGTGACTCTGGATCCTTCTAAAGACACATTTTTGGGGTAAAAACCTTGCCTTTAATGAAATGAAGGTTAGAACTAGGCTTTTAAATGGTGCCAATATTGGTGGGAAGTGGGGAAGAATACGTTTGAAAATACTTGTCGCGGGAGGTGCGATTTATTTGATGTCGAATGTAGTTACGGTCAAAGTTAGGTGGTGCAACTCAGCCTAAGATCTGAACTTACTAACATACAAGTTGACGTGTGACCATGGGGTTTGTAAAAACGAATCAATTGTTGATTTCCTCCATGGGAACTAATTGAAACAAAGTCTTAATCAGACAAGCTGGCTGACAACAACGGAACAGTGGGTCAATAATTAACCTTACATGTGTAGGTATAATTAATCAAAATTGTTTCCACATTCAGTAAAAAAAATGTATTAGAATGTGTACCTAAAGTACGGCCAACGAGAAGTGATACCAAATGCAAACAAACCCAATGTCATGGTCATTTGGAATAGCAGGGGT